CCAATACAGCTGTCCTCATAAATTTCAAGGTCAGAAAGAATTATTCTCTGACTCCAATCTATTTTCCAATGTAACAGAAGTTGTTAACTGCACAGTCTATAATAATTATGCCACAAGAATTATCAAGTAGCTCTTGGAATAAGTGGGAATTAGCTTTGAAGCCAAATGAGAGACACTTCAAACAGCAACTCCCTGAATACTCTTGGAATTCACAGCTACTGAAAATCTGCTCTGTGCTATGGCAGAAGTTCAGGATAGGTAGGACCCTTCAAGCCATTCCCTTTTTGTTTAATGAGTCTGCTTTTCTTTTGCTTATTGCAAAGTCTGGTGATCAAACTACAATTAAGCCTCTACCTTCTGTTATACCAATTATTTAGGTGAAGATTAATCTAGCCAGCTATTTCCTTTACCTGCATATAACTGTTCTTTACTGCTCTCTTGCACACAGGTGAGTCTCCTGTACACAAGTCCATATTTGTGGCCCCAAGAGTGTGTTGCCATGCACAGCAAGCAACTGTTGATAAATAATGACAATTTTCAGTTCACCTACTTATGCACTGGAGTTGTCACTTCTTTTCATCACTTGGTCTGGAGAAATGTATCCAAACTACTCAAACATCTGAGCTGCCACTCCTTGTGGACTTAGGACAGCTTTCACAAGACCTGAAGAAGGGCTTGGGGCAGGATTAGCCCCCTGGAAGGGGGGAACTCACACAAAGGAGAGATGTAAACTGGCACAACAGTGATACAGCACTTGCTCTCCCAGGTGGAAATAACTAAGAAGGGTACTCCAGGTAATTTCAGATGCAAGTAATGAATAAAAGGCCGCCAATTCTCAGGTGGCATGTGGCACTTATTTGCAGCATACCATTTCGAGCACCACATTGATGAGAATGAGCTGTACCTTTGCTGGAAAGTTGCTTTAAAAGCTGCTACCTCTGCTTTAAAGATTTTGTTTATGTAGCTGAATGCTTGGTGCCCTTGCCTGGAGCTGTTGGGATAGCAGGGGGAAGAGAAAGCCCTCTCCAAATGTGTGGGCAAGCAAGAATATCCCATTTAACCTATTTTTGTCCTGCCACATCCACCTTCCATATTTGAAATATGAACAGGATGACTAATTACCTCCTCTTTGCTCAAGGAAATACCAAATACCCTGCCCTTCACACTTTTAATTAACAGGAAAATTTGCAGTGACTTTCCTACAGAGAATGTTGACCGTGGGCTGAATTTCCAGCTCAGGTACCCCTGGGAAACTCCCTGGGCACTGTGGGGAATCTGTGCCAGGGTGGGTCTCGTTTTCTCACCTGCTTTCCTGAGTGGGAAGTGGTGCTGGCTCTGTGCAGACCTGTCCCAGCTGGGGAAGGGGCAGCCAGGGAAGCAGCCAGCCTGGCACTTTCAGGAGCTCAGACACCCATTTGGGGGCTTTGTCTAACACACAACTTTCCTTCAGGGTGAGGGAGCTGCACTCTGCCAGGCCCAGGAGTCCTGCTGCTGCCATGGGGAAGGAGCCAGGCTGGGAAGGAACAGGGAATCCAGTTAGGAAGGTTTGCTGCTCTGAGACTACAGCAAAATTAAGAAGTTTGCATTACTAAGCACACCATAAATACCACAATTGGTCTCTCACTAGAGCTGCAGTTTGTCCTCTGGAGGACACAGCCTGCCTCTAAAGAGCCAAATATTTTCCATCTGCTGACTCAGTGGCAAGTGCCAAAAGGCCTTCCAGGTGAACCTGGACCTAAAAAGAAAAGGCAACCCAAACCCTGCAGTGTTCACCCTGCTCCCATCAGTGCCAGCAAGATATACTGCAAGTTCTCTGATTGATAAAAAATTAAAAAATAAACCAAGTTGCTGTTCATGTGGCTAGGACCAAAAGCAGCTCTGCTTCCTGACAATAAAACCATGTGCTTGGCTATGGGGAATATCAGGGAAAAGGCCTGTGGTACTAAGAATAGCCCCATCAATAAGTTTATGACAGAATTGCATGGACACAGAATAAATCACTTACCTTAAGAAGGAGACAGAGTGAAAAGGGAAGACAGATTCAGTGTGATGAGAAGTGGCTCAGTCTAGGTCATTACTGAAGTAGAAGGTAACAGCCTTCAGAAGGTGGTGAGAGAAATTCCTTCTTCCTGTTCTGACAGCTCCTCCAGGAGGCTTTCTCAAGTTGGTGACCACAAGGGTAGAAAAGATCCACCCTGTGGCCCTGTCACAGCCATGTGACATGGTCAGCAACCACAGTGCAAGCCCAAATCAGAACCCTGTATCCAAAATGCAAGTGTTCCTCATGCTGCAGCTCTGGCATGGGGACAGGGTCTTTGCTTCCAGAGAACTGGAAGCTTCCTCAGCACTGCTCAGCACTGCTCCTCAGAGCTGCTCCCAGGGCCCTTCCAGGCCAGCCTCACACTGCCACCATGGCACAGCTTGCCAGCCACCTTCAGCTTCACCCAGCCTGTAAAAGAAAAGCACTTGCAGAGACTTGGGCAACCTCACATGGCTGTAAATGTGGTGGTCATGACCATAAACTCAGTGTGGTTCACAGAACAGGTTGTGTTTACTTCAGTTCACAAAGTAAAGCCACCAGCTTTAATTCTCCATAAAAACAAAACAATGGGGCAAGTGCATGATTCAGAGGGCTTGGTGCAAATTTTTGCAAAGTAACAGATACAAAACCAAAATAATTAAAATCATACATACGTGTAAAACAAAAGAAATTCAAGTTAAAACCAGGACTAATTCCTATTAGCCCTAGAGATGATCCAAGAATATGTCAGGAAATAAATACATTGTTCTAGTTTTCACCATAAAAGAGGGTGTTGCTCTCTGATGGAAATGGTTTGGGTATTTACAGAAGGCAAATGGATCACAGGAGAAACAGAAGGAAGAAAAGCATTCATGAGAGTGAACTGAAATGCTGCAGGGTGACCACTTCCCCACACACCTCGGTGTGACTAAGAGAAGACTCAGTCACAGCAAGGGCTGAAGAAATTAACTGTGAGCAGGACATCATCATCTGCCCCACGCTGGAGGGACTGTGCCAAGGTGAGACCAGCATGGTGTGGCTGCCACCACAGGGATTCTGCAGCTCCACCACAATCCATGGCTGCCCTGGGGCAGATGGCACTAAGTTGGCCTGGTCAGTCCCATTTATGAACAGGAGAGCAATTTATCCTACAATCCACCTGAAGGGAATGCTGCTTAAAGGCACATCTTCCTGGCCTCTGCTGGACTGTGGGTGCTCTGAGGAAGAGGAGGCAGCCAGCACCACTGAACCTCTTCTCCTGATGTGGAAAGCACAGTTGGTGATCCAGCCACTGTTTCTTTCCCCAAAGGCCAAGAGCTCCAATGACAGAAGGAAAAGGAGGCTCTTCCAAGTACCTCTCTCAACATTGCAAAGCACAGCAGACAAAGCAACAGCCTCATTTACCAAGGCAGCATGGCTTGTGCTCATAGCTGGTATTTCTGATGCTTTTTGCCATATAATAATCAGCTCTCCTTTTGCTGCATGTGCTACTAATGCCAAATCCTGGCAGGTTCAGAGCAGTGCTCCAGTGCAGCCAGGGGAGCAGAAGATGTTTAATGCCTAACAGAAGCATGGAAAATTCTGCAGTTAATGTCATAGCATGCAAAAAAATAACCCAAAGGCTCATCCTAACTTTCTGTTTCCTTGTCAAGACATACTTATTTACCAAGTACCACTTGGAGTAGATTCAAGGGGTAGTTGTGTTGTGTCCATATTTTCAATGGGATTTGACATTTAAGGCAGCACTGCAGTTCACCTCTAAGCCTATAATAACACTTGCAAATCTGCTTAGCAAGACATCAGCAGAGCAGCCCAGGGACAGCTCAAACAGATTGGCTCTGTCCCCACAGAAGCAGCACTGGAGTACCAAGTGATGCTACAAAGCAGACACTGCAGGCTGCAGTGCCTGACACAAACATCTGCAAACTGGACCCACTCCTAATCTTCACAACAAAAACAAAACCAAAGACTGCAAAGAGCCCTCACTTTATCTTAAAAGCAATACTGCACTGAGTCAGATACCACTGGAGGTCAGGAGCACTTCATGAATACACTGAGCCAGGACTCCTTTCCACACCCCGCTGATTATCCTCAGTCTCATGAAATCCACAAGTGCTACAAGTACCAGGGTAGGCCCAGGATGAAATACTGATCATCACCTCCTGATCTGGAGTCACAATGGCCCAGTGTTGAGAAGCACCTTTACATCTCCTACCCTTTTGATTTTCTCTTTCATCATAGCCCTATCACCACTGAAGTTTTGAGAGCAAATTGATGCCAAATGCCAGGATGCTCAGTATATTTTGCACCCAATTTACACACCCCAGCCATCCTTTGCACTCAATTTATACCAGAACCCCCAGAATATGACTGGAACCAAATAAACTACATATGAAATACTCAGCTCAGATTCCACATGTGCTTGGTTCTCTTCGGGCCTGGGAAAAAAAAGTCTGATCAATTCTGATTTGGACTTTTCATCCATGCCCATGGGAAGCAAAATGAAGGATCTTCTCTCATAAGCCACCTCAGCAGATCCTCCTGCAGGATGCAAATGGCTTCAACCCTGAGTTCAACTTTAAAAGAGAAATGAAGTGCTCAGCATTCACCACGAAGCACCAGAAGCAAAAAGAACACTGAGCACAGAGGCCTCCACTGCAGGGACAAAGAACAAAGAAGCAGCACAATTGGGAAAGATGGAGAAAAGCAGAAAGAACTCAATTTGTATCATACCAAAGAAAAAGAAGGAAACCTGACACAAAAAAAGTTTATACTAATAGAGAGAGAAAGCTTACAGAAGGCAGACTGTGCTGTTCAACAGCAAAACCTTTGCTGCCCTCAGTGGTCACTTGGAGCAGCCTGGTACCTCCATCAACAATGATCCCAGGCTGGTAAAAGAAAATATCTAGATACCATTCTCAGCCATATGAACCCTCGAGCTCGTTTCAATGACATGAGCAAAATTCCTATTTTTCTGTTTTTTCCCCAGCAGGGACGACACAGCCCTTTGTCCAGCGTGGTGCACGCAGTTCTCCACCCTCAGGCAGCCTCCTCCTAGCAGACAGAGGTGCAGTTGAGCTCAGCAGGGTCCTGCCTGCCGGCTGCAGGCGCAGCTGCCTCGGGGCCGTCGGCGATGCTGGGCTCGCTGGAGCACTGCCGGTGCCCGAAGCAGCTGGGCTGCAGCAGCAGGCACTTGTCAGGAGTGTCCTGCTCCTCCACCACCATGCCCGTGTGCATCATGGAGGCCATGGCCAGCAGCTGGAGGTCCGAGTGAGCGTTGGCCACCGTGTGCCGACGGATGCTCCCGCACTTCTCCAGGTAAGCCTCGCCCTCCTGCTCCGTCAGTGGGGTCAAGGCCTTAGGGCAGGATCTGGAGTACCTTCTCTCTGGAAGGGAAAGAGGCAGCAGGAATGGTCAACAGCACGCAAACAGAGAGCTGCTCACACTGCTGGGCTGGCCTGGGGAACAGAGAGAATTCAGTGTGCAGCTACAGTGCCCCACTTCATTACCACTGGAAAGCAGTCAGGAGCTCACCAGCTCATACTGCTAGGTGTTGGGAAAGGAGATCTGCCTCTGCCTCAGAGCAGGGAGACTTCCCACCCTGCTACAGGGGCTGCTGCCTGTGAGAGAAGTGAGCCAAAATGTCACCATGCAGCCAAGGGACTCTCTTTAGCTTCCTCAGAGTCTTCCCTTTTATCAAGGGGTGAAGACCAAGTAGGTACTCTCACATGCAGGTTCACTAAAGAAAGTGACACTAAAGTGGCACAAGTCCCCCAAAAAAAACATTCAGTGGGGATTTGAATTGCCATCCCTGTCTCTGAAGAATTTCTCTCAGGAAGTGCCATTAGCTGTTGTCAATGTGAAATTCCTGATGCTTACATTGCACTGTCTCTACATCTGCCTAGGAACAGGCCATTCTGTTGGCATTATCCCACCATATTTTTTAAAGATCATGCCAGAAAAAGGACATTTCATCCACTTTGCAACACATCTGGTTTGGAGGCTGGACACAGAAAACACCTAAGAGTGCACAGGAACAGTCCACGGCAGCCTGGGAAAAGGGGCACAAGGGAAAGGCAGGATTTGTGCTGAGGAGGAGAGGCAGTGGCACAGAATGGCTGGGTGTGGGCTGTACAATCTGCTCAGCAAAATGTTACGGAGGAAAATTGCCAGGTCTAAAGCACAGCCCCAAGGTGCAGTCCCCAGTGCAGTACCATGAAGCACATGCCAATTCTGACTCTGAAAGCCTGAAGGAAGACAGGGGTCAGAGTTTTGCCTTGGCTCACTGAAATCCCACCCCAGCAGGTTGAATCAGACACTGTTACTGTTCCCCTGCTGGCCTCCACCTCCTGCAATGGTCCATGTGGTTTTGGACACCTCCTGTGGGTCCTATCCCTGCAGCAGTTGATGGAGCCATTCCCTATGTGTCCCTGTTTCTCACAAACTTCACTGAAGTGCAGGGTTTCATTTCATAAAGTCAGAAGCCTTTAAACCATATAAAAGGCTTTCAACCAAGACTGCAGAAGATAAGAGTAACAAAATGCAAAGCAAAGCACTTGTCACTGAAGGTTATAAGAGTTTTGGAAGTTTGTATCAGGAAGAAAAGCAGAAAACAAACTATTTGTTGCAGGGAGGAACAGGTGAGCAGCCTTCACCCTGTTACTGCCAGTAATTCATCAATTCAAAATGGTTCATTCACAATTAAGAGTATGCAAAAATCACTTCTGAGGCTGGTTACAGCAAATACATTCTCTAGGTTTCAGCTGCAGCTCAAGCCACAGCAAGCTGTAGTGTTAAAGGGCATTAGGATATGACTCTTTTGAGAAAAAAATTAGGTGAAATTAGTCTAAACTCTGAACATGCATTTATTGCTTTACTTTTCCCCCTTTACTTTCTTGGCCACAAAAGACAGTCTTCTTAAGGGAGTTGTTCTGCATAGCTTAACCTGAAATTTTATTTTTATTTTGGTGCCTTATGACCAGGAATATAAACTGGGAGGAGTTTTTCTGGGACTTTTTTGCAAGCAACCTCACATCGGCAGTGATGTGTGGCTGTTTTATCTTCTCTCCTATCCCCAGTATAAACCCTGTTTCTTAGCCAGCTGGATCCTTTGGCACACTCCATTCTTACCATGCAGGTTATGGCTAATTCACACAGGCAAAGCAAAAGGATGCTAACAGACCAGATGGAAATGCTGCCATCAACAATTCCCCTCTCTGAGGGGTCCTGTCCCTTTCACACCTCTCTGCTTTAAATCAGCTTAAGATACAGCAGCCTTGCAGGCTGAAGCCTTATGTATACTCCCAGCTGGGAGCAGACACCTTCAGGCACATTTCCCAACATTCATTTACCCTGAAGGCTCCAGTCCAGAGGGCAGTCTGGCCTTCAGAGCAGCTGTGTAGAATGCAAGCACATCCAAAGACCAACTGCACCCCTCCCAAAAGCTATTATGGGGAACCTACTGGGCTTCACCATCATTACAGGCTGCCCAGTGAGAGAAGAAACTGGTTCTGAGAAAGCAAAATGATGACTGAGAGAGGGAGAGGGAAGAGAAAGAAGTCTGATTACAAATGAAAGGAAGAGAAGCCCCCTCCACAGCAGCACTGTGAAAATACCAAGATTACTTGTAGAAAAGTGCAGTTTTGCAGTCCCTGTCTTGTACTGCAAACAGAAATTCCTTCTTTCCTCATGATCAGCAAAGGGTGGAGCAAGGGTAAAAGGCCACCTTGGAAATATACACAAATAAATGACAGCTAAAAATCAAAGTAAGTTCAATTATTTTAAGGCATATAAGCTTTCAAGGCCAGCTTTTGTAGGTTTTCTTTTTTTTTTTTTTTAATGGCACAAATGCTTTGTTCAGCTGGCAGAAATCCAGGATGGCTAGAAACTTCAGCACAGGTCAGGCAGCTGCCTTTCAAACCATCCCAGCAGCATGCAGCTGTCCATAAACAGCAAAGCAATCAAATCTGTCAAAGTCCAACTTTTACAGGGGATTTTGGTCCACACTGAGCCCTAGGATCAGATCTGCAAATCCATGCTGAACTATACAACCATGCTCACTTGCACAGAAGATATCTGATTGCCCAGCAACCACAAGAACAAAAATCTTGAGCCACAGTTTTCCTAAAGCAATGCTATGGGTTTATTACAGGCATAGGCTGTCTGAGTTCCAATAAGTTCTCCTACCACAAGACCCTCTTTACCCATATGCTCCTAAGTGTACTACAAGGCAGGCTGTGGGTCTCCAGCTTGCTACAATTTTGCATCAAAGCAAAGGCTAAAGGTAGTAAAAGCAGAGGGAGACTGGAGCTTTCTTCACTTGCTCTATTTAAATTTCTTGACCATCAAATCAGTAACACTATGCCCATTAGCTAGCCAACCTCTTCTGGCTGGCCACATGTGTGAGCAGGGCTCCTGCATCATTTGAAGAAGATTATTCCCAGAATAATCATGCTCTTCCTTAAGTGAGGTGCCCATTCTCTCACCTGGACATGTTTATCCATACTTTAAACACAGAATTTTAATTTGGGGGTTTTTTTTAAACAGAATCCTCAGATGGAAGGAAGACTTCATGCAAAATCCCTGTCATCCCTCAGAATTAATATGCAACAGTTCTGCAGTTTGGAAAAGCTGATTGATTCAGCAGCTGAAGCATGCTAGCAAGCAGGCAGCAAAGGACCAGGTACTGCTCTCACTGTGGTGAAAGCAGTACACCAAGCATGGACAAAAGGGTTTTAAAATCCATTTCATGTCCAGAGAGAGGGGAGACTTTGTGGGGGTCTGTGTGCAGTGATGGGGCACTAATAGTTCACTAGGTCATGGACAAGAAAAAGCCTGTCACAAAAACTTGTATACAGAAACATTAATCAGGGCCTTTTCAAGGGTCTTTTAGCCTTTGTTTTCTGTCTCTCATGGAGTCATGCACTGTTTCCTTTTCCAGCACAAATGCCCCCCATTACCCAACCTGTGTACCCCAATAATAGCTTCAGTACAACGAGCATGTCTTACCAAGCAAGCAGGTGCTACCAGAGGAGCTGTGATCCTCACAAAAACCTAGGAATGGTGATACCACCTGCTTGACCAGCTCTTCCAGCTGTAGATAGCCCTCAGTAGGGCCAGTAGGCTCATGGACACTCTGAAAATCAAACACAAAAGGTCAAATCACCTCTAAAAGATTTTGGAATAAAGCCTGGGGTCTGTCAATTCTCTGTGTACTGGAATATCCCAACTGTGCCAGTAAAGCTTTTGGAGGTGATGGAGGTTTGGGTGCCTTTCAGGTCAATCTCCCTGTTGAAGTTACAGCCACACCCTAGGGCCATTGGGCAGAGAGTTCTTTTTACTGAGCAAGTGACAGGAAGGCACGAGGTGTGCTCACACTGAGGATGTGCACAGGGCACTGCAGCAGTGTCAGTATGCCAGGGTGGTTCTACCAGAAAACAAACACCACTTTGTAGAAAAGCCTTAACACACCCTGGGCAAAGCACTGCTCTTTCCCTAGGCAGGACTGCAGGCAAAGCACCCTCTGTGGTTCAGCTTATAGCTGTGAAGATGGTAGATAACACCAACCAATTTAACAGCAATTTCAGAAACCATTCAGACTTAACTTCCTGCAAAGCCTCAATAAGCTTTTTTCCTCAAATGCATTGCTTTGAGATTCTCTTTGCTCTCAAGAGTCTTGTATTAAAAAACATTCAGGGAAATTGAGCTAGCACTCTAGTATCACCTGCTGTTCCAGTCTGGGTCACTGGAACATCAGAACAGTGAGAGTTCATACAGAACTACCAGCTTAGCCACTTTGCAACTCTGGTTGTGCTTCATAAAGTTTAATTCTCAGACACCCATTATGTAGGAGAAGAAATAAAAGTCACCAGACTGTGTGGTATGTTGAAGGGAAGGGATGCCATCCAGAGAGACTTTGAAAGGCTCAAGATATGGGCCTGTGCAAACCTCATGATAATCAACAAGGTCAAATGAAAGGTCCTGCACATGGTTCAGAGGAAGGCTGGATGGAGCTCTGAACAGCCTGGTCTAGTGGAAGGTGTCCCTGCCCATGGCAGGGAGGCTGGAACTATATGATCCCCTCCAACCCAAACCATTCTATGACTCTATCAACTCTAACATGTTAGATGGCATTTTTCAGCACTGTTGGGCTGGGCAATATGAGAAAAAACCAAAACTGGCTGTATTTGGAATGCTTGGGAAGTATTCTGTTGAGACCTGGATAAAGAGGATAGTCACCACAGATGCTCTAGATCTCTTGGGAGAGGCCTTTGAAAGATGGCCTCTCATTTTGCCTGCTGCCAAAAGGTATTTCTCCTCTAATGGGCATACTCAGCATCCCAGCCAGCCATGGTGCTGGTGTCAAGCAGCCAGAGCCACAGTCCATTCAAATTCCATTATCTGCTGTGATGGAGACTTGCCCTGTCCTTGCAAAGCTGAGAAATCAGGAAAATTAGGGCACAAAGAGGCATTCAGACAAGCTAGAAGATGAAAATTTGTGTGAAAAAGAGAGTCCTGACATTGTTCCTAGATGGGGAGGAGAGGTATCAAAAAAAAAAAAACAACAAACAAAAAACAACCACAAAACCCAGCCCTTTCAAGGCAACATCTTTACCTGTTCCCAGGAAAGCTCAGGGCATCCTAATTCAGCTCTCATTTTAACACTGACCACTCCCATAAGCACATATATAAGCACATATCACATCCCCTTCATCACACCCTCTACTCTCCCCAGTGTTTGTATGATTTCAACGATTTTTCCTCCAGTGTTTGTATGATTTCAACGAGGTCAAGATACCCAAGTGAGTCAGATGAAGAAGAGTAGAGGTTCCCCACCTGCAGAATTAACAGCATCTGGACAATGGAAGCTGGAACCTTTGTCTGGACCAGGGGAAGGATTTCTTCCAACTTTACTTTTAGCAAGACCAAGTCTCTGAAGCCAAGAAGAGCAATCTGACGGATAGTCAACTCCTGACCCTAAAAAAACAAAGGCAAAATCCAAGTGTAGATAAAGGGACATGTGAGCATCATACCAGCATGTGGGCACACAGACAGGAGGGTTTATTCTGCCCATTGGTGCTGTGGCAGAACACCCCCAGTCATTCATGTTGAGAATTCATGATACTCTTTAATTTCTTCCCTCTCAGTCTCACACAAATTCTGAAGTGGGCATTGCCTCATCTGTGGCACCACTAGGTTTGGAGTGAAGCCAGAAATGGGCCTGTAGTTCACCAAATGACTGACTATGTATGTTTTCATAAAACCTACTTGCCTTCCAATTTGCTCACAAAAAACCCCAGGCTGGATGTAGCTTGTGCTTCTGGCACTTGGAGATGAAAAAGCAGAGAAGATTTGGTAGGAAACAAAGTTGTTTCAGAATATTTCTTCATTAAACCTACCTCTGACCTATACTGTACCCTCTTTTTGCTCAACATCTGCACTTGCTGATATGACAAAAATCTGCAAGTTAGTCCATTACAGATTTTAGGATTTAGGCTGGAGCAAAGCTAGCAAGACTGCTTGAACCAAACATAATTTTAAAAAGCAATAGCTTTAATATCCTCTGCAAGGCATTCCTACTTTACATCAACAACACAAGTGAGCAGGCTTAACAGATGATATAATATTTCTCAGCATTTTTAAACACAGTCTAACTCCATTTGGCATTCTTGTGTTACCACCTTCACCTCTGCTATGTTCAATATCTGCATGACTTTCTCTTGCCCCACTGCAACTCAGTAGCAGAAATTTTTCTCCCAGCTCTGCCTAGCACTTTCCAGCCTGAAAAGTTTGCTTTGTTCTTCTCAGTATGTTAATCTCTGCCCCATGGTCTACTTGGGAATCATTTTATGATCTCCATAACACTCTCATAACATAGCAAATATTTAGCACTCATAACATAGCAAATATTTAGCTAGAAGAAATTAACAGCAGGTAATCATTAATTCATAACAGGTTGCAGGTCATAATTAACAGCATTATCGATATGTAAATATGAATTAAAACCAATAGTATGGAGGAGAGCTTGGCCATAAAAAAACCAGTTTGCTGTTTTAAACCATCATTGTGTAGGGGAAAAAACGTGCAGGAAAGACCAATACCTATCTTGAAACTATATCTCAGCAGCTGCAAACTTTTTATTTATATTATGCAGTTTAGTCCCATTAACTTCATACCCCATTTCAAAATGCAAATACGTTTCTGTGCCAAGCAAAACAAGATTTGCTATTCTTTTTTCCACACCAATAGTCACACCAACAGCTGCAACTATACGAAAGCCAGTGAGTGACCTGTTTACATAGTTTCCCTCTGTACAGCCATTTAACCAACTTGGCTGCTTAAAGGTCATATTTCTGCAAGAGCTACAAGCCTTGGGGTTAAACTTAGCTGAGATACGAGGCTGCGTGAGTTACTGCCTTTGGTAACATACACTCACGCATGTGGCTGACTCAGTTTCATTCTGAATGGGTCATTGCTGGCATCACAGGAGAGCACAACTAAAAAAATCCTGCTGGTATTTGCAGGAAAGGATAGGGAATTGAGAACAAATTGACTTTCCCATCTACCAGAGCAGTGTACAAAGAATTGCAGCATGATGGAAGGCACTCACTGGATGAGCTCTCCTCACATGCTGTGACACACCACACCAGTGGTTACACGCAGTTCCCTATTTCTAGGAAAAGCCCAATCTTGTTATTAGGACACTGGCCTGGCATAAGAGCAATTTCTATTTCTTGCTGCACCAGCAACTCTCTCTCTGGTAGCCTAGAGCAGCTCACTCTGAGTTAAATTCTTGGATGTATTTAGGCAGCTTAATCCATCCATAGATACAGTTTAGTACTGAGGTGCCCACAAAGCTTTAAATATCCTGCCTGTTTACCTTTCAGTTCCTCATTCAGAAAGTGGCTATACTTCCCAAATTTTACAACTTTGCTCATATATTTTGGGTGATTCAGATATTGCAATAAGACAAACACAGCTCAATAATTATGCTTTCAAAGAATCTCAACACCCCATAGTCACCCTTTCACCACTAAGTTAACTCCAAAAGCTTTACCCACAGTGGTGTAACTTCTGCCCCATTTCTCATCACAGACATTTAGTAGCAGAGCAGTAGATTTTTGTGTTAAGTGGCAGAATTATTAGCATCAGTGGGTATGACACAGTCAGCTCACAGTTTCCACAGTACACAGGTAGCTGCAGTGCAGACAAACCCCTGCCTAAATAGGTCACTCTCTCACTGAGAGTTAGCTGCAAAAGGAGAGAAGGGGAGGGTATTATAGTTGCACAGTTTTACCTGTCAAACACCTACCTCCAAGCATCTGGAGCAAGGAAAGAACAAAAATAAACACAGTAGAAAGGTTAGTGTCTGTCTTTGCAGAAGTCCTTTCTCTTTTAGGAAATGCCAGCTTTAAGAGGATTAGAGGAAAAGGGCAACCTTTGAGCTTTACCTGCTGCCTTTCAAATAATACAAGGGAAAAATAATTTTAAAAGGTTCTGGAAATAATGTCTTCCAGAAGAGGCAAAAGTCAAGGGGAGGAGGCTAGCATTTCCAAGAACATCATTCTCCACATGAGGTACATTTTTCTTTTTCTCTGATGGCAGAAAAGTCAAAATAGGCTGGGGAAGTAATTAGACTGCTCATATAGAAACTCTGAGTAAAACTACATTAAAAAAATGATACAGCTCAACACTTCTGATGGGATACTCAGCCTTCAAAATACCCAGTGTAAAAGGTTTTACATAAAATGTTCATTCTTCCTCTATCCATAGACTTACACGTCCCCTTACTGAAGCTTCAAAAACCTGAGGATTTCCCAAAGGCACAAATGGGATATAAGCCCTTCAAAAGTCATTAAGGTGAGTTAATCACATTTTCTCCTGAGCTAGTCTTCAGATTTATACCTCTAAGACAAGCTGTCAGTGCTGTCATCTGCACCAACAGTCACAGCTATTTAAAAAAGAAGGAATGATAAATACAAATAGCCCAGAGCTTCAGTCTAGACAAGGCACAGTCCAACAGTTTCAGTGTGCAATTTTAGCTAAGCACAGAGAGTAGACAATTGGGAGTAAATTCAGTTAACTCACCAAAACACCATGCTTGTCCAGTAGATTTTAGCAGTCCTTCTTATAGTTAATACTTGGATAAACTCTACTTTCTCCAAGATTTAGTTTAAAGGTTTTGATGTGTATTTAGCCACTGGCCAAACAGTGCTGCTGGCAGAGAAGTTATAACCTGCCATTAGCAGGCATTGCAGTCACTTTGCTTCACCTGAGTGAACTGTAATTAGGATTACCTGGACTGGGTAGAATATTGCCTGGAGTGTAGGAAGAGTCTCTGTAAAATAGTGATCCCAGATTTCAGACAGGACATCAATGCGATCCTCACCTATGAAAACAGAGATTGGAGCAAGAGCTTTAGTGACAGGGACAATAAAAGCAAGTTGGATTTTCCAAGTACTCCCTAATTCCCCAGGCAAGAGACTTCATTTCTGCAGTTTCTGCCCAAAACTGGACATCACCCAGCTAAGCTTCCCCTTAACCAACAGAGACTGTGACCTTTTCTGTCCAAAACATGAGACCAATTCCAACAAAAGAGGCAAGCCCCTCTTGAACCAGAGGCTTTAACTCTACAGCCCAGGATTGTGCAATGGCACAGCTCACAGTTAACATGCTCAGTAGCACAGGAGAGACCACACAAAACCAGCTGAATCTGAGAACCAGCAGGTCACAGCCAACAGCAGCTGATACTCCAACATCATCCTGCAACAAGGTCAGGGAGAGCATTCAGAAGACCTGAGCCCCCTCCAGCATCCACTCAGTACCAAGCAGCAGTCAGGTACCTGTCAGGAATCCCAACAAAGGCATTAATGACAAATGAGGCACTTGTGAAGGTTCCCAAATGAAATCCACGTGTGGCCAACCCTTATATGACTCTAATTCAAACAAACATCCCCAGATGTAAGTGGGTATTTAAAACCAAGGCAGACTAAGCTATGAATCTTGGGATTCCCATAACAGGAATACAATTGTGATCAAATTATGCTCATAGGTTTGACTTACAGAGCTGGGCACTCCTCAGCATCTGGGCCCAAAGCCTCTAAGTTCTTTAGCTTAAGGTTTGCAATGTTTATTTCAAGTCTTAGAGCGATCCCTGGAAATCTCAGGTGCAAACAGACTCAGGGTTAAAACCACAAGTTTCTGACAGAAGGATTTTCCAGGATACCTCTCAGGAGCTCAGAAGCAGTCTAGACTCAAGGAGCAGTAATGGAAGATGGTCATTCAAGACAGGTTTGAAGACTCATCCTCAAGGTCACTAAAGGCCCAACATGAGGAACTGAATACATGTAAAATTGCAACTCAAAGGAGCCTTATGACCCTGTACTGAAGTGCTTTCCTCATCTGCAGACTTCCACACAGACTTTCACTCTGCTTGCCCATGGCTTGTGCTGCTTAGGACACAGCCAGAGAGCAGAGAGCCAGCAGGACTAGATCCTGCAGACATTTCCCTTTGAGCAGAGAGCCAGCCCACTACCAACCACAGAAAATTTCAAAGAGATGCTTCACTGTGTCAGGTATGACTATGGTTTCAAATCTGGAACTGCAGGCAGACAAGAAAAGACCCAAAACCCCCACAACAGCTACCCATTACCACAACAGCCAAGTGCAAGCGAAAAAGACAACAGGAAACAGATTAATTGAATGTTTAAAATTTTCCCTCCTCTGCCTCCTACCCAGGACTACAATGCTTTGCTGTCTGGAGACACAATGAAATGTCAAAGATCACTTCTCCTTCTGAAGGGGAAGCAGGAATGGTTTGTTTCTTCAAGAAATCATAAATCCTGCAGGCATTGAAAGAGATTCTGACAGACTGTATAAAGAAAAATCACGTTAAAGAGGGTGTGATTGAAAAATAGGCACAGATGAAACATTGCCATGCCCTGCAGCCACTCTGTCTGGGTGCAGGGGCAGGGTAAGTTTTCCAGGAAGACAGAACTAACCAGAAGCATGTACAAGAAATCCTCATTGCTGTGACCACAAGACCTGCCACAAGCCCACACATTATAAATGAAAGGTGTCCATGAGTCATCTCCTGCAGTGATGCCAGCCTGCAGAGCAAAGTGGCTCTAGTGTCACTTCAAGCTAGGGACAGAAAAATGAGGCATAGAAGGTGTTTTTCTGTCTGCCTGGGAAACTTCATCTGACCCAAACTACCTGAGCACCTGCAACATACTCTTGGGCAGCTCTCAGCTTATTACAGACTCAAACTAAATTTTCATAATGCTAAAGCAAACCCTGGAATAGTGTTATATGAATACAGAAACCAAAGTCTCTGGTAAGCTGTGCAGCATTCACTCTGAAGACCTGGCAGTGGAAAAGGCAGGTACCCACATTTGGAAATGGAGAATTCTGCCTTTTTTCCACATCTTGGAAAATACAGGAGTCTGCCCTTCTTCCTCCCTCACAGGGTCAATGCTGAAGAAGCACACCCCAAGCAACCCCCTACTCCTTTGGGGCCCAAATCCTACAGCCTGCCAGCTGGGTGAAGTCACTTGGTGCACACTGGTGCAGAGGAATCCAGGCCCAGCAATGACGTGAGATTATCAGCATCTATTGGCATTTAATGACCCACATACAACACTCTGGTGATTAGCAAGAGATCTTCCCTGCAGGCTAGAAAACTGGGTCAAACCAAACAGCAGCTTGGTTTTGAATAAAGATGTGCTGGCTTCGCTTGAGCAAACAGTCACTAAATGTGAGCAGCTCCCCACAGGTCCAGCAATGCCTGGCCACACCACACTTACCTTGGCCCACAGGCTCTGCAGCAGTAGTTTGAACACAGCTCCATGTGTGATCAACTTCTTTCCTGAAGGATTTCATTCTCACCCAAAAGACTGTTCTTTTCTTTAAATTTACACAAAGCTTGATAGTTCAGCTCTCAATGGCATGACAGAGAAACCAAAATTACGCCTACATCAAGCTGCAAATCGCATTGAGAAGTAAAAGGCAGAAGGCAGCTCCAAGCAGTTTCACAACAGGATCCATGTCCAGACCAGAAGTGCCATGAGCCCAGGTTCAGCTGCCACAGGAGAGCCACACTGCTGCTTTTGTGGTGCAGTTATGGCTGGTGGGAGCATCGTGGCTCTGGGGCCATCCCAACAGCCCACCCTCTCTTCAGCCTCACAGGGCTCCCAAGGGGCTGTGTGGCACCCCAGGACAGCACCAGACAGGGCTGTTTGCTTTCCAGACAGGCAAATCATCTCATCTGACCAAGCATCAAAGCACAGCTCCCTTCCAGAACAGGTTTCCTACTATACTTACCTTCACACAGCTTGACCTTCTCCTCCATAAACAGCAAGCCTTTCGCAAGGAGCTGGTTCTGACAAGGGAAAAGAGAGACGTGCATTTGCCTTTTATTTATTTATAATGAACATGGAAGAATGCATTTTTGTCAGATACTACCCACTTTGCATGCATTAATCTTCAGATTAGTCATGTTGCAGTACCTTTTTCCAGCACTGGTCTCAGTGTGAGTGCTAGGCATTCCTTAACCCCTTCTTGTTCAGCTAGACATGAGAATGCAACAGACACAGCAGTTGAAACATCTCCCAGAAATGGGAAGGGTCACAGGGAGGGAGTCAAGAAAATAAAATGGTTCTTACCATAATGGTGCACCCACATAAGCTATAACTCAATTACAGGATGGAGGTGATCAAAGAGTCAAATGCCATGAAAAGGTCCCACTCTCTTCTTTTTGCACTTGCTCATTGCTTGTCTAACTGCACAGCAGGCCAAGTTCAGTTCCCTAACAGCTACTTCTCTATTCCTACCTATTGTCTTTCCATGAGGTCATTCTTTTTGTATTGAGAAGCTGGATGATCTCAGTGTGCAGTGTCAAGCTGCAGAAGAACTGGCAGGACCTGGTCTTTTTAGATAAACTTAACTCTCATGGACCAGACAGATCAAGATATCAATAAGCCTGTTTGCAGTCCATGACATCCAAATACCTGATTAACTTTTTGTTCCCACTTCCCCAAATGTAAGAATGGTGCAAAAACAACACCTATCTTTTTGTTCTCCCACCAGCACCAGGTGAATCAGTTATTCTGAAAAGCTTTGAGAATGCCAGAGAAAGGCACTGCAATCCCACATAATACAATATTACTGCATCCTAAAAAAGGTACAGAGATCACACTGATAGAGAATATAGGCCTTCTGCCTCTCTGAAAGGAATCAGTATCAGGGTAGCCCACAACAGTCAGAGATGACTCCCCACTGTTCAGTTTCTGGTTTTTAATGGGAACCAGGTCAAGGCTGCACTTTTGAACCTTCCATCAGCCAAGGAGCAAGGCACATCTCTGTCATTCCCAGTGGACACCACCACAGCCTCCTGATGAGCTGCCATAGTGCATCCTGCCCTGGTGCTCCCGCTCTGCATTGCAAGCCTGCCTCTGGAACCACACGCCAGCCTGGCTCAGCCCTGACACAGAGACAGGCATCTCTGGAAGCACCCCAAGCCAAGAGAGCAGCACACCTCTGCATCCTCCCTCCAACAAGAAGCTATCACAAAGCTGGGTATAAAAAGGAGGAGACAATCCTCTGTGACATCCTCAGGATGGGAGATATTTCTCTCTTGGGCAATGACAACAGGAATTAGCAAGCTGGATAAATATGGTCACATAATAAAAAAAACCTACAACATCTCCAAATGTTAGCAAAGAGTGGAAGGTGACAGTTTTATGAAGATCCTCTAGCAGGAACATGGGCTTTGGAGGGAAATACCAAGTTGCCAGGCTGTCCATTCAAATTTTAGATTTATTCAACAGAAATAAATGGCTAGACATATCATGATATGGACAACAACAAAAAAACTTTCCAGGAAAAACCAACAGTGTGAAAAAGGAGGGAGAAAGAAATCTGTAATGACAAAAACCATAAGGGGAAATAAGTGAAACCCACTTACACTAGAAATATTTTTCTGCTTGAACAATAGATGTTGGAGTGATATGGCACGTTAATCCTGCTTTCAGTTCATTTAAAAAAGTACTGAACTTCTTTATTTTTCAACCTGTAGCTCAAGGCAATTACTTCTCATACACTGCAGGGGAAATTTAGAGCTGGTCTTTAATACTGTATTATTTTAAACTGCTTTGTAATATAAAGGTGTGTATATATACATATATACACACATGACGATGTGATTCTTGTTTTCTTGTGTTTCTCTCAAGAAATACGAATTCCTTCTCTATCTGCCATAGAATGTTAGATTTCATTTTACGTATGTTTCCCACTCTGGATACAATTTTCCAGGTACTTTGCCTCAAAGTTAATATTATTGATATTTTTTGCTTCCAGGGATTGTTTGGTTCTTTTTGCAACTAAGTCAGCAACCAAAGAACACATTTGTACATGGTAGTGGACAGCACAGCTGTGCCTATTGCAAAATACATATATAAATCATTACTCTGTGGTAACAAATTTATTATGCTCCTATGAATGTACTATAGCAATTCCATGTGCTAAAGAGATTGCATAATCTCACTCTAAAGGTTTCCTTAAAAAAGAGATTAGGGCTATATAGTTACTGTAGTTAGTGCAGACTTTTCACTTATCCTCTCAGATTTTTCCTTTTCCTGTGGAAGAGACTTTAAAAAAAAAAGTAAAAATCAACCACACTTTATTTCCTTTCTCCCTGTCCTGAAAATATCTGGAAATGTTACTTTTTCCTAATTTTCTGCAAGAAGTCACAGGCTTAGGAATTCATTCAATCCAAATATTAATCCCACAGAGCAAGCTGGACAGGCAAATTGTCCTTACCAAACCCTACAGGCTCTGCTGACAAATCAATACAAGCTACTCCAGCTGCAGTGGAGGTCTGTTTCAGACCTTGTCTAGATTATAAATCTCATTTTGCTGCTGCATCCCTTGCATGCTTGCCAGAAGCATAGAGCTAAGAGGAAAAATAAATCTTCTATTTAAAGCAAGACCAGATAGAGACTCATACCAAGTAAGCTTGAAAGGTACATTTATTTGAAAAAGTTCAGCTGCCACCTTCCATCTCTTTGCAATTACAGCTGAACAGGGATGGGAGCTTGGGGGAGCAGGGATTCCCTTCCCTCCCCAAATGAGCTTTTCCTGGTTCCCCAGGCTGTTCTCCTCACCCTCTGCTGGGACACCACGGGATGCTTAATGCTCTTTGTGGGAGGTGCAAACCTGCCTTTACTCTTTGCTACTCTGCTGTGCAGAGAAACAAAGTCCCAACTTCAAAACATGTACATGCAGTTGAGAAATCTGGAGAGAGATCTGTTTTGCAGCAGATAGAAGTGACCTTGTGAAATCTCACAGGCTGACCCCTTTTCTGAGAGCAGAAAACCAAAATAGCTGACTCAGATACACCGGTAAGAAAGGCAGCTAAAAGAAAGCTCTTAAGTAAATTTTTAAATGCCCTAAGTTTCTAAAGGCAGGATTCAAAGGGAAAATAATCACTTTTCATTTGTTCCTCAGTGAAGAGCTTCTCACAACATGTCTGTATTTGCTACTCTTTAAAGTCATCCTCAAACCATTTGGAATAAAAAAAAAAATTGAAGGCAGTCAGCCACCACCTTATAAAACCCATACAATTCCTTCCTTTTTTCTGGCACAGGTATTTTCCTCTTTGCCTTCCCCGATAGAGAAATTGAGGCAAATGTCTCCATGCACGCCCAATGGAGTAATACCAGCGCCACCATCCTCCCAGGAGGTGAAAGCTGTCCCAGGCACAACAGCTGGGGCTCCTCTCTCAAACCAGCAGAGCCTGCAGTGCCCAGCACCTTCTCCCTCCCTCCCTCCCTCCCACTGCAGGATCTGGGCATTCCCTTCCTGTGCACAGCCCCAGTACCCCCGGGCAGAATGGTGCCCATCGGACTGTGCCCGAGGCAAATCAGATGCTGCCCGTCAGAAGCACTCAGCCAGCACCCTGGGTGTGGTGCCAGCCCCCAGACAGAGCCAACAGGAAGGATTTCGGGGTGACAGCCATGCCACCAGCACAGCTTGCTCGGCTGTGAGTGCTACATGCAAGCAGAAGGCTGGAGGAAAACAGCTGAGTAGCTTGGGCTGCAACTCCACAGAAATCATCAAGGAGGCTCAAGGCATCCCAGGCAACTTCACATCTTGCCTAAATGCCATGTCTGCAGTACAGCAAAGTACAAATTAATCCCCCTGCTAATAACAAATAAGTCATTACCTTTGAGGGAAAAAGGTTTACACAAACATCCATTTAATTATGGATAAATTCTGCTTTCCCTTAATGTCTCCAAGCCAAACATGGCTAGTATGCCTTTTAAAAGCCACCTTCAAATTAACAAATTAATATTAGTTCATCAAACAACATAAGCTTGAAAGAGAAGTAAACTGATCCAGAACATACTCAAATTAATTGACCTCATTTTGCTGGGTGGAAAAAAACAATTTCTACAGAATGCTACAGCGTTTCTTAAATGCACCCTGTTTTATAGGCAGCTGGGGCTTTGTGTTCTAGTGCTAAACCACACTTTTACAGGCTCTACAAGCACATAGCCACTGCTTTGTGGATAATCTGATGCAAATTTGAGAGAAAAAGCATCACCCAAACTTACTTGCCAAGTATTTTCTACAAAGTTATTGCCAGCTGCACACAAACACCTACCTAATTCTTGGCAGTGTTTCACAAAATACAAATTTGTGTGAGCTGCAGCATCTCATATCTAGAGCACCCTCCCACCCCCAGCTTTTTTTCTTTAACAGGAGGGGAAACACTGACAGAAGCAGAGAGATCACTTCGATCCTACACAGGGGAGAAACTGCAAGATAAATATGAAATCACATCCTAAAATGACTCTTCCAAGAGCTGGTTTTGTTCACAACAGATAAAAGAGAAAGCCCACTGGAAGAGATGAAAGTGAGGCAAGGAGGGTAAGAAGGGGAGCAGACCAAGTAGGCAGCACTGCAATGATCCAGACCACAAGGAGGCAGGCAGCAGCTCTGGGAAAACCCCACAGCCAGGGCCCCTGGCTTCACCCTGGTTATCCCTGCTCCAGGGGGGATCCTGCTCAGCCAGGCCAGGGCACCCTCACCATGCTCTGAGTGGGAGCAACTTGGCTCCCTTTGGAAGGATTTACACACATCTACAGAGTCCTGGGGCCTGAAAGGAGGTGTCCCTGCTGCCACCCAGGACTAGTGCTGAGCTGCTGAGGGATTCCATCCATGATAACAAACTTGGACAGTTGCCACAGAGTCTCTGGAGCTGCTCCATCAAAGCTGCTCTAGAAAGTGCCAGATGAAGCAGAAATAATTAGCAGACCTGCAAGAACAGAGGTTCCCAGCCAAACAGAGGTTCCCAGACAAATACAATAATAAAGGCCAGCTTGACCCAAAAGAGTATTGCAGACACACAGCTGAGCTCTGCAAATCACACAAGTGTGAATTCTGTTCCCTGTGCAGCAGCTGAGCTGCTACAGCCCCTGGCAGCAGGCACAAGACAGCACTTGGCCAGAGAAAAGCTGGTGCTGCCTGTATCCAGCAATAACCATCACTGCAATAGCCTACACAATTATTTCCTTACCTTGCTGTGAAACAGGTAGACAGAGAAACCTGGCATCAAGGAAGGATGCATCACACCCCCTGTATTTTTCTCTTTGGCTAAGCAGCCACATGGCCTTTTCAGCTGTTAGCTAGGCTTCACAAAGCAGCCTTTCAAAGGAGCGAGCAAACATCATGAGAGATCCTGGAGTCATCTCTCCAGGCTGGAGTTCCAGGAAAACATGCAGTGGGGACCTTAAAAAAAGATCTTTATGGTGCCACAAGAGAGGGAGGAGAGCAGGTTTCCCCCTATCACTGCAGCCACCGTGCACAGCTGCGGAGCCTACAGCGAGAGAAACTCTGACCACAGAAAGGTTCCCCAGCACCACTACTGACTGCTCTAAAGGCAGAAGATAAAATCAGCTTTGGTTGGGACCCAGGCTCGCCTCATTGCTGACACCACTTGCTTTTCAGCTATTTATTATCATCTTGCTGCCTGGACTTTGCTTGACACCTCAGCAATGCGTGCTCTCACACGCTGCAGCCTCTGCAGCTTCGCACAAACAGAAAGCTGGGTCTAATTCTGAGTCAGGACTTGGCACCTGCGGCGGCTCTCCATTGCAGCAGGCTGGAAATTATGTAACAGCGGCCCTCTGGTTTTGAGACATCAAAGATCTCATTGGATTAGATGAGGAAACACAGTCCACTTGCCATTCCTCACCTACCAGCTCTGCCAGTGCGGGAGTGGACATCAGGCATCAGTTCTGGGCATTTGACTTTCTGCATTTGCAGCCTATGGGTTCTGGGAGAGGTTACAGTGCCTGGGAAGGGACCAGGTCTCTCTGCCTTGGGAGGAGACAGTTTGGAGTTAACAGACACAAATGCATTTCCATTTTGCCCCCCATGAGTTTCAAGATTAACAAGACTATACAGAGTAAAAAGACACAATTCATCCCTTCCAGAGGTTTTGTTTCAGGCTGTTGCAGAATGAGGCAGATAATGCATCAATTTATCAACACTTGCTGATTTTATATTTAAAATTTTTTCTCCACCAACACGAGGGCCAGACAGTAGGAAAATGAAGGCAGCTTATCTGAAAAATCACAGAGCTGCACCAGAGAAGTCCCAACTGCCAGTACACCCTGTTTCTCCAAATCCCAGCCTCTTACCTTCCATGGTCATAGGATTTCCACCCTATTGTAGTTCAGCTGACCACCAGCAAACCAACCCAGCAGTGAGAGCAAATGGTGCCCTGCTCTGTTATTGAGCAGAGAGGTAGGTACAAATGCCCCTTTTCAGGAAATTCTAGAATCAGTTCATGGGCAAAGTCAGTCCTGAAAAGCCTGAGCATGAAGCACTGCTTTAAGGTAGATCTGCAGCAAATGCTGCAAACCCCAACTATCTGGCATTTTCCCTCAGGCTTCAATCCAAGGAGAGGGGTTGTATATACAGTAGGATTGCTAAAGCGGCAGATTTATAAACACAACTTTCCTTCAGAATCAAACATCTGAGTTTGCACTGCAGCCCTTATGGGAATTATATTTCTCTTTCAAAGACAAAACAGACTCATTAACTCTGGTATGATGATGGCTTGGTAGCAGAAAAAGACTGCGTAAACTCCAAGCATTTCCTAAACATTCCTTCAGCAATTTCAGGAGCTAAAAACTGTTAATTTGCATGAGTGCTGATGAAAAGGACTTGTGAGTAATTAAGTCAAGTTGATCACAAAGGTAGCTTTGTCTCACTATAAAAGCTCTGTTCCATTTTAGTCTTGAATATTCAATGCTTATAAAAAAATGTGCATGTGTGAGTGTATAAAATTTACATAATGTAAAATCCCCAACTCTTACAACAAGTGTGATTTTAAAGTTCCTCTTAGTGGCTCCAGTTATAAGTGCCACGGCATAAGAAATGGAAAACGTTCAAGTCAGTTTATCATATCTAAATATTACATGATCCCGTTAGTTCCTCTAATTGCTGCTAGGATATTTAAAACTGCCTGGCTACACAGAGAGCATATTCTTCAGGGTCCATTTCAATGCAGAGGGACAGAAAACGTGGTTCTTGGAATAGTTTTCAGTGAGCTTTAACAGATGTCAGGGGAAGTCATTGCCAAAAGATGCACTTCCACTCCGCTCCGCATCCTGGTGACCCACTCCCAGCACCTCCCCCATGTCAGAGGTGATGACCACAACACGTCAAAGGAAGTAGTTGGAAACATTGGTTTTTTTCTTTCAAGGTTATTTTTCAGCCAAATCAGCAGCTTGATTCAACTCTGCTCATCTTGGTGGCACCAGTACTGCCATAATTCAGCTGGCATCAGCAGTGAAACAGAACCCACAGACAAATGAAATAATGCTGTCAGCCCTTCTTTGGCACATGAACAGTCTTTCCCCACTCCATGGCCCTAGGATTTCTGAGGAAAGAGGATTTCTGAGGAAAGACATTCAGGAGGGAGTGGTAACTTTTATCATGGCCATATGCCGTTAGTCTAGAATCAGAAATAAGTCTGCATCTTAGCTCACAGAGGGAAAAATATCACTTCTGACAATAGCCTTTATCTCACAGTTTGTCCCACAACTTGCCTGCACCGAGAGTTTTACCTCAGGCTAAGTCTAACAGATGCCAAGTTGCTCCTTTTGACACTGAGCAAAAATACCCCAGAAATTAAATGTGAGTGCTGGTGGCTGCCACCCCACTCAGGGTCTAGGAAACATCCTGCCTTGTGCCGCCAGCAGCTGCCTCTGCAGTAAACAACTTGTGCAGAGAGGGGCTGAGGAAGTGAAACATAACTACCCCTGGGGCAGGAGTTTTCTTCTCACTTGATAGCACAGCAGGGGGATTTTTTAAAGCCATGTAATCTAATAAATCACGTAATCTGATAGGAAACAACACTAGTCTTCTTTTTCCTCTTTCAAGCTGTTAGCACGCACACAGCAGCATCAGCCGCTTCAGAAAGTACAGAATTTTTCTCTCCCTTACTCAAAGGGAAGAAAACCCTCTTGTTTCCAGCAGCCCTTTTTTTTTTTTTTAATAATCAACAAATTAAACTGAACAAATTAAAACATTGAAAGCCATCAGTGCCTTCTAAAAATCAACCAGCAGGCTTTCACGTGGTTACATGTGAACCTCTGTCTATCTGGCCAGTGTCAATAAAACACAGCAACACGTATTCACATTTGTGACTGCTCCAGTCTGTCATGGTTACTTCATCTTGCACATTTTCCTTTTTCAGAAGCTGCATTTATATTTGTGGGACTAAAAGGCAAACAGCACCCAGGTTGATTTCCTGCTGATAGAAACTTCCTTCTCTTTGCCCCCTCCTGCCTCCAGGCAGTTGTCATTATCTCTCCTCTTTCCCTTTGCTGGCCCCTGTTGCAGAAAACCTTTTGATTTCTCTACACTCAAGAAAAGGCATCCCATCTTCTTTAAAAACTTCAAGTGAATTCCTTGTTGATCTTGGCAGACTACTAGCAGCATTTCTTAAGTGCAAAGGAAGATTATCCTTAATTCTGTACTCACATCAATAAAAATAATTACTCCCAGGACTATATAGCCCACATTTTAAAAGTCCAGTACCTCCATCATCTTCCTCAGTAAAACAAAAGCAAAACTTGTAGGCTACACACATGTAAAAAGGGATCCTAATTTTGTTATAGGCTAAAAAGCTGAAGGGAACAAACCTCAAAATAAAGCAAGCAAGTCATGCAATACCTGAAAGTAATCTGTGATGAAGGATCCAAGTTCACTCTTCAGCAGCCGTCTGTAGACAGAAGGAATGGAGCCATGAAGTAGCAGCCACTGCTGGTCATTTCTTACAGCTATACCTGCACTTTACTACCAGGCATACCAAAGATACAGGAATGTATGGGAATGGGTCCTTTTGGACACAGATTTCTCTTACATACGTATTTTACAAAGGCTATTCTCAAATTATAAAGGAATTAAACAGTTTCTCTGAAGTCTTCGATATTATAAACCATACACCTAGAACAAGCGAAAAAAGAAATTACCTCCCTGAATGAACAGAAAGCTGGGAAGAAAATCTGGAGTTATTTAGACTGAAATCCATTATTTTTTCTGCTTTCTTGTTTAAACAAAGATGCCTTTCATGTCATTGAAGATAGCATATCTCCCTAATATTGTACTTCCTTTTCTTTTGGAAGTAGAAGGAGAGGAGAAATGAAACAGAAGCTGCACCCACATTTTAACTGCCACATTTCAAACAATAAAAAACAAGACATATTTTCCAAGGAAGAAATTCTAGAAACTTAACAAGAGGTGTTTTAAACACATATAAGCAAAAACCACTCTAAATAAGTCTTTCTGATGAAAACTGTTGGCTTTTAAATTAGGCTGTGATAAAGGTTTTAAATTCTAATACATATTTGTGGTTTTTTAAAAAATTATATAAAAATCAGGATTGTTTTACATCAGAGGCAGCATCAAAAAAAACAACTCAGGATATTCAGTGTATTTTCACTTTAAGCTTTCAGTGATTGAGAATAAATTCTGTAGCAGCAAATTCTGCCTAAAATTTAAAGGTTGCCCAACACTTTCCAATGCCAAACACTGCAATTTCTTTTCTGTTCTAAGAGTTTTGCTTTTTACCAATGTAAAGTACAGTCAAGAGTTCTTGAAAACAGCATTTGAATCAGCAACCATCCAGTTCTTAGGCTGGGTTTTTACCACCAAACTATGCCACTTTACCTCATCTCTGCTCAAAGTCAAATTTGACAGCCTTCCTCTCTAACCACTTTACAATGCTTCTGCATTTATTTGCATGCCAACATGCCTTTACTCTTTCTCCCTCTGAGTATTTGTATTCACCCACCCAAATCAAAGCCCATGTCCATATCTATGAGATCAGTAAATCAGGTAAGTCTTTGGGGACTGATTTGCCAGAAGCTTTTCCACTGGCTTCAGCCAATCAAGGGAGGGGTCTCTTCCTAAGCATGGCCAGGTCATCTCCCACTTACAGAAATTCCATTTGCCAAAGGCATTTATTCATTTCCTCTTGCTATGACAACTGACTTTCAGAGCAGGTAAAAAAAAAATTAAAATTAGCCAGTGACATGGTATCAAATCACAGCAAGATAAAATCTAGGTGGCAGCAATCCAGAACAAAATGTTACCACCTGCTCATCTCCTGGTCCTGTCATTACCATCCTCCTTTAAGACTGTCCCGTGTTTCTGCTCTGCCAAATGATGAAGCATTGTGCAGAACCTGAGAGCCTCTTACTGCATTTGCAAACTACAACCCAGGAGCTGAGTGGAGAGCTACAAACAAGGGCAAGGGAAATGCACCAGCTCAACTTCATGGCCCACAAGAGTTGTCTGTCTCAGAGGTCTGGCTTTTCTCCAGTGTCAAGCTAGGGATTCACCTTGTGCACAGAGCTCACCCTGTGCTGGGAGCTCCATCCAGAACCACAGGTGTGAGGCTGCAGGTGCTCATGCAGACACATGCAGAGGCCTGTCCTTTGCTCCTTAGATGGGCATTAATGTGGATGTGAAATGGTCTATTTAAAGAGTGACATTTGGAGATGTAACCAATGCTCAGGGCACCTGCAGGAACATTAATCATGTAATTCAAGGTGAGTGCTTCCAAGTACAGCCTGGCAGTGCATGTCTGTGGAAAAGGGCATTTCCCCTCCCACCATGAGCACTGCCCTCAAAGCATACATAGTTCATAAAGAATTTCCTGTTCTTTGCCTGGTTTTCACCACTCTGCATTCACTTCAGCAACCAGCATGAAGAGAGCATGGTCCAGCCCCTGGGGCCAAGCCCAGACCCCACAGCAGTTCTGCCCAGTTCTGCCTCCCTGGAAGGGTGGGAAGGAGCACCTGCTTGCCCTTCAGGGGAAAAGCAGGATACTGCCACTGCCATGGGCAACAGGCGAGTCACAAAGCCCAAAGCCACTCCCCAAGTCTGCTAACAAGCTGGGGCTTTAGGTATTTCCCAAGCCTTATGACATCTGGTTTTATTTTCTTGTCCACAAATACTCATCCCGTGGAGAATTAAGACTGCTCCAAGTGCTTAAACCTAACTTGAAGACTTCTGACCTGAACACACTAAAATATCATTAAAGTGCAAGATGCTGTCCTTGCTCAACTCTCAAAAGGAATTATATTAAACTTTTTGGGTTTGGGACTAGACCAAATTGGACAGAGTCTCCTGCCCTGATAGCTGCATTTATTTTGAAAGTGGGGAAAGGGGTAATTTAGACTGCTGTTTAGTACATACTTAGCTCAAACTGTCATTTGAATCTTTTGGAGCTCAAAAAAAATGCAATAGGAATGAGGGGAGGGCATACAAAAGAAGTAGAGACACATGTTACAGCACTCTTAATGAACTAATATGGATACACTGGTAAATAGAAAAGGAGGAACCTACATCCATTAGCCCTGACAATACTTCTCTCAGCAGTACTTGGAAACCAAGGCAAGAATAAATAGTTCTTTATATACTCCACAGTCCTATCTATTGCTAATCAAACTTTCCAACTAATCAGAATGAAACCACAGATAATCATGAAACCTGCTTTTAAAAGAAAACGATACTTTTAACCATCACTAGCATCAGCGACAAAAAATGTTAGCTAGGCTTTTAGTTGTTTTTATCTTTACTGTTCATATTTTCAGGTTTTGCTCTGCAATTATCATGTGAAGATTAAGCTTTTAAACAAAATGCTGTGGTTTGCTTTAAACACTCCACAGTTCTGAGAAGTTTGGTTTAAGAAAAGAGATGCCAATATTATTACGTATAAAACACATTCAAAAGAGGCATAGCTCCTAGGAGGGAACAAAATCCTTACAATCCAAGCCAATACACAACCTGTCCTTATCAAAGCTACACAAGTTGGAGAAAAATTATCCAAATTATCCCATGCCATTCATGTCACTCGATAGCAAGAAAGAAGTAACTTAGCCAGAAATCCCAAAGCTGTGCTTAAATTTGCTTTCATCCCTTCTCCTCCCACCGATACCTTTACATGTGGTTCTGAAGGCAACAGATCCCAGCAAACACCAAACAAGCAGCAACAAAAATCCATTTTTGTGCATTTCAGTGACCTACCTGATATTTTCATTGAGGGTGTAAAGTTCATTGTTCTGCAAGCCTCCCCCTTTGAACACATTTATCACTGCTGTTTGTACGCTGCCAAAAAAAAAGAAATGAGACAGGACAACATCCATGAATAACAGTGTGATTTACCACAGAGCACACCATGAGCAAGGCACCAAAAGCAGAGAGATTACAACCAGATGGAGATAATTGCCCTTAAATAGTTCCACTCTTTCTCACCTTGAAATTGTTACTTTTAATTACCTACATTGCCCCTGGGAGACGGAGCAGAACCAACCTCAAGTTCTGCATAGGGGTAAGCAAGGGAAAGCTGTCACATGGGTCCTGCTCATGCCAGATGTCTCTTGACCACAACTGTTTGGGGGATCTTTGCTGGGTGCTGCAGGCTAGTTGCTATGAGGAGACATAGGTTTTTTGGTAATATCTGCCAAACACATCACACTGCGTTATCCAGTGATCCTACCATGAGCCACCCACTCTGCAGCATCTGGCAAGACCCTGGCCGTGCTGGAAGATGCTCTGCAGCCAGCATCACCTCAGGCAGATCCGAGTTTGAGCACTGTTAATGCCTGTAAGATGCTGTTGGAGTATCTTCTAATTCTCTCACCAGCACAGAGGAAGCCATACAGTGACAGCAGACAAGAAGGTTTAGCAGTTCTAAATCTTGCCATGGCTAACAAGGGCATATGTCATTTCCTAAGCAGACATTCCCTTCTGCGGGCCAGTTATGGCATCTGCATGCTTCACAGACCTCAGCTCACCATCATGGCACAAAACTGCAGTGTTTTTGCCAGGCTACTTTTGTGTGACATTGGTAAACTGAGCTAGGTCAGCAAGCAAGAACAGTTTGCAGAGCACAGAGCTGGTGCCATATGGCAGAAGGGATGGTGGGAACACCCACTTCTGGTAGCAGCAGACCATTACAGCAGATCAAGACACAGGACATCTCACTCTTCACCCTTCACACTGTTTTTTCAGTTGCCATTGCTGCATGACACACACAGCAGACAAGATTTAGCTATCAGTAGGAAATGCTGATTGAAGCCACAAACTTAATACTTGACTGTGATAAAAGCTTCATAATATGCAAATACATGCCTTTGTGAATTAATAAACTGGCATTTATTACAGTACTAGGATTGTGTTTTCCTAAACAGTACTTAAAAGATGCAAGTGTTTACAAAAAACAATTTTGCTTTTCAAGACAGTACAGCTGAAAAACATTGTCCAAAACCAACTGAGCACTAGTAGGTCTAAATTTTTCAACTCCACAGATGCTTTCAATGCCAGCAAAGCCTGGACATGCCAAAAATTTGTGCATGCTTATAAACAGATGAGCTTAGTCTTAAATGGTGTGAAGCACAAGCGTAAGATACACATAACCCTCGCTGAGGAGCTGCTGCAGGGCAAGAGCTCAGGCAGGTGGGTCCTGCTGACCTGTTCCAGGCAGAGTTGGAGCTGAGCTGCATGGCCTGCCGGGCTGCCTGGAAGCGAGGCAGATCGCTGAGGACAGGGGAGCTCATGAAGCGAGGCCGGGGCCTTCTGAACGAGCCCATCTTGTGGGGCTGGAGCGCAAAGGACAGAGCTACGGTGAACCCTCCTTTCATAGGGTCAGGTGCAGCACAGCAGGACCATCAGAAAGGCTCTTGTCTCCAAGGTTCAAGCATCAATCTCAGCAATGTCCATGAGTCTTCAAGCCCAAGGACTCAGCCAAAACCAAAGGGTCAGCCCTGGACTAGCAATTCCCCACCGTGCAGGGCTGTGACATGCGCTGCATGATGAAGGAACTGAAGCAGTCCTGCAACAAAAAGAGAAAAGAAAAGAGTAAGGAACAAAAGGGAGGGATGAACATATCCTGTGCCATTAACAGCAGCTTGGGAAGACTCTGGAATTCCAGAGTTCTTCAACAGCCCTGTTTCCCATCTTGCCCCTTAAACAATGACCCAAGAGAGCCAGTCAGAAATGCAAACATGGTCTCTCTTTTGGCTTCAATTGGCAGAACTGCAAGATGCCTCAACTCTTCTGCCAGAGGCACTTGCAAGTACCTTTAAATACAGTTAGTCACTCAGCTTGTATATAAAATAGTAGAACTGGAGAAAGAGAAAACTATTCCACTAGAGAGGTACAAAAGATGAACAACAGAAAAAAAGGCAAATAGACTAACACAGTGCTGTTTTTTTGAGAAGTGTTGTGCAAGAGAATAAACCCACTTGCTATCAGTTCACTACAAGAAGAACGTAATAAGGAGCTTCTTCAAAAGAGTTCTACCATGCAGATATTTTGAGCATAAGCAGGGCTTTTATGTTTCTGGTTTTTCTACAGCATGAGAAGTAATTGTTAGGCCAATTACGAAATGCCCGTATTTTCCACTCTGATCACCATCTCCGTGTAGATGACTGTGTAGCCCCAAGTAAACCACAGAAATAGAAGAAGCGAGCTTGAATAAAAGCCACAAAAAAACTTTGGCAAAGCTTCTGTTCTTTGAAATCCTCCCACTTTAGCTGAATACAAGCAATAGATGTAGTTGGCAGTTTTGCGAATGAGATGTGGGACACAGGAGAGCAGAGGGGAAAAGAAACAAACAAAAGAGTTGTGTAACTGAACTGCACATGAAAGATGTAAAGCAAAATCTCCTTTCTACTACATCTACAGCACAAGGTGAAAAGAGAGATGGTCAGACAAAAACAATGCTGTGTGTCTGTACTAATTTGACTGGTGTTCAGCCCCAGGAAAATCTTTCCACTGCCCAAACTATAATTAACTCTTACATATAAGAAAACATCTTTCTTCCCACTTGGCCAGCCCCATTTTATGCTGAGCTCACTTTGTTACCCCAGTTCTGCACAGCCTTGGCAGATTCTGATCAATCACCATGAACCCCTTGCAAGGCCCTTGCTGTGCCATGGACACCCCATGCCCTGCCAATGAGGAAGCTAATGGAGAAAACACTCCACTTTTTAGGCACTGAAACACACAGGACTATCATTCTTGGTGCTATTCAAGAAATAAATACCACTGTTTCACTCTCACAAGCTAAATACAGTTTGCAGAGATCTCTGTGGAACTGGAACATGACTACAAGTGCAACTTTTTCCTGCCTTTAGACAATTCCTGGCTGTCTTCAGAGATGACAAAGCCCAGACAGTCTTTTTTGACATAAGCTTAGCCTTAACTGCTGTTGCTTGAAAGGGCAGCAGTCTGTTGATTCTTTGCCTGCTCTGTTACAATTAAAATAAAAACAAAAACAAAGTCATAACTTTTAGACATTAAGACTAAATGTAAACTAGTACAACCACATCAGCAGGATCTTTTGTGTGCATTTTGCAGCACCAGTTCATTTGACATTGCCCACACAATTTCAATCTGCCAGCAATTTCTCCATTGACAACTGTAACCACATCAGAAAGCACCAGAGGAAAAAGCTACAGCACCTTGGAGAGCCGAGGCAGGTTCTTTTCATAGCAGACCAAAGGGTGGCCGCAAGGCAAAGCCCAAGTATAGAGGCTGCTTCTCTTGCAAAACAAGAGCTCCTGCCAATGTTTGTCTACAAGTTCCAAAGCTGACAGCATGAGGAGCTGAACGAGTGACAGATCACTTCTCCCAGCAGCACTGTAAAAATTCTCACTTAACAATCTTTACACATAGAAACACAAAATTATTTGGGTTGGAAGAGACCTTAGAGACCATCTGGTTCCAGCCCCCCTGCCACAGGCAGAGACACCTTTCGCTTTCAGAGGTATAAAATGTAATATAAGGATTATTTCTAGCAGGCATTTAACAGGGCTAGAAAGCAGTGGTTAAGATGTGCTAACCCACAAGCCTCCTCTTACCACTACCCCAGGTGCCACAAAGGCATGCAAGCACCCTTCTCCCCAACAATGAAATCATTTCATAGGATGCATTCATATTCATTTGAATTAAATTAAGTTTCAAGGGGAAAGCTTAAATTCAGAAATGTAAAACAATATAACAACCTCTGTGCCTTAACATATATAAATTCAGGTATGGGTAGGAAATTCTTTGGCCCATTCTGTGGAAACAATAAAACAGCATGATGAGGAAGGTCTCTTCTGACCTTGGGCTAGGGATTTACAAGACTGATTCCACACAGCAGAACCATGGCATTACACTGGGCCCCATGATGAATTTCCTGAGCACTGCTTACCTAGGGAATGTGCTTAAAGTCATTGAAACATACATGCTGTTTTCCTTAATCTCTGTTAAAAGTCACCAGGACAGATAAAAACAAGCTCTTGCCTGGGAGGAGCAGATAAGACACCCCAACCCTTCCTTTCCCAACCCAGCCTGCAATCTATGTTACTGTCAAGTCAACCTTACTTTAGAATCTCATTAGGAATTTAAAGCAAGATCTTCAGCTTTAGGACTTGATTCATGGTCTTATTTCTTCAGGACTCAAAGACTCAAATCTCTCCTATCTTATCTAAACCCAGTAACTATTAAATGGCAGGCACACCAAACTCTTACTCTGAAGGCAGGCTAACCCAAATGGTATCCAAGCATAACTGACCTTCGTGTTACCAGAACTGGAAATGCCAGTGTGTGAGAAGGACCATTCTCTCCCCATGCCCACAGCCCATTTAAACTGTTTTCAGAGGCACAAAAAGCTCAAAGTAACAGTGTTTACTAGAAAAACTGACTTTTGTAACATGTACTCTGCAGATCCTGTGCACCTACCTGAAGGTACAACAAAGCACCTGAACCCAATCAAACACTTCCATCACTCCAGATTTTCCTTTCACAGCAACTGGCTTCCACTGAATGTTTTCCCCAAAGCAAGGAAGCCTTGTAAATAATGCTTCATTTTCACAGGGAGGTTGCAGCAGCAGTTTCTTGGCAATATCTGTGGTGTGCATTCTGCAGTGTGCAATTTTTTTGGCTTTCTACTGGGAGAAACTACCCCTGTGGCAAGAAAGGCATTAACATAGTTATAGGTTAGTAAGAAGCCCTCATGGTATTCAGGCTATTTGAGCTATTGGGAACAAACAGCATTTAGCAAAATGCTGAGCAAGGAACAATTTCATCTTGCTGTGAAAACTCTCACAGAATTAAGCAGAAATGTTCAGAAATACACTGTTCTTCTAGAGGCTTTCACTATAAACTCCTTCACATCTGCATTTTCTTCTTGCTAGGATTAAAGTGGTTTAGAAGGCTACAAAATAAAACAATTTCTAATAATCACAATCCTATTAGCAATCACAGAACTTGAAAAAGCTTTACAGAGAAGCAAATACTTTTCTCCTTTTACACAGAATGATAGGAGACACCAGGCTGCAGCATGTTCCAGGCACCAAGCAACATTCTCTCCATCAATTATAAAAGACATTAAGAGTCAGAGACTGAAGTGTGGTGACTGCATAAGACATACAGCCACACCAGACAATTTCTCACTGTCACGTGGTTCAGCTGCTGGGATAATGCTTTACATGGCATCAGGGGATTTCAGACTGTTTGCCAGCTGATATATCCTAAAACATTCCCCACTCTCCTCATCTTGCTTAGTGACCCTGCACACCTTTTTTGGCAAGACACTTGTCATAACTAAGTCAGAGAGAGTAGGTACTGCTCTTCCTTCCCTTCCAGATGTCCTACCCCCCAGTCCTTTTGTTTTCCTTAGCCTTGATTATCATCTCAAAGTCCAGCTACCAAAACCCTCTAGAGCTCTAACAAGGCAGAAATGTCATCTGTGTAAAACTCAGGTCTCCAAGGGAGCTAACTCTGCAAAGATGAAAGTCAATGTCCCCAACTGAGGCAGCACAGCAGGACCATGAGTCAATCTGACAACAATGTAATTTCATCCACTTGTAATTCATCACATCTGAGTAAACACTTTTAGGATTAATATGAATCTTCAAAGAAAATAATTGAGCATCGAGACAAATCCTTTTCCAACACACATAGATACGGACATTTATAAAAACATTACAGTCATGAAGCTGGGAAACTTTTATTATTTGTTTTCTGTTAGCCATGAGAAACAACAGAGAAATCATTATAAAATGATTTCATGAATTGACCTTTCCCTCCCAACAGACCATAATACATCTGACTGTTTGGAGGAAAAGCAAGATCAGGAGCCACCCCTACTTGAACATCTTTCTCTACTAAAGAAAGAAGAACCCAAAGTAAAAAATTGGCACCAAGGTCTCCAAATTATGAATCTTCATGATAATCTTGGGCCAAACAAACAAAAGGCCCATAGTAACTGAGATTTAACAGAACAGACCTTTTAAAATTCCTCTGATGTCTTCTCTGTGAAACTCAGAGCAACAACTGCTAACAGAAGTGACATGGCAGAAAAATCTGCAACTGTTTTTGCTTCTTAGAAGAAAACTTTCACCAATATTACTTCACAACAAATTCACACCAAAAAGCTACAGGTCCAAAAGTAACTTTAAAACAGGAGGGAAAGAAATAGTGGAGAATGAAACAGAGCAATAGAGAATGATGGGTTATCCTGACATAACTGATGTTTTGCCATTTAATTATTTTTAGTGTTAAAAATAGCCCCTTCATGAAGAAAAATATACACTTGCTTATATTTGCCTTTTATATGCTTCATGCAGTTGTGACATTGATGACCTATGATCATAAAATACACAAACTGGACACTGCAACATGCACTTAAGTGTTTTG